CTTTTTTTTGTTGAAATTGTAATTTTTTTTAAAGGGCAATTACAAATTCAGATGTCCGGCTTTAGTGGAGGGAACCAAGCAGTGTAATAAAGAGTGGTCGTACCAGGAGGTGCGCAGACTGGCTGATCTGACTGTGGAGGAAATGCAGCACTTTGAAGAGAACATGGCCCGTCTGGCTCTTGCAGACCACTGTGAGGTTCAGGAAGTAAGTGACCCAGTTATTTATGTTTTAATTTGTTTTTCCTTTTTAATGTTTACAGCTTCTTGATTTCAGTGAAATCCAGTGGACTCAATATTTTTTTAATATTGTGGTTGGGTTTCTCTTAAAAATGTCCCTTCATTTATTTTCACATCAGTGTCCACAGTGCAAAACAAGTGTGGAGAGGATGGATCTGTCTAACCTGTGTGTAAAGTGTGTCGTATGCACAGCTGTTCAAAAGAAGAAATTCTACTTCTGCTGGCAGTGTCTGAAACCATGGAAGGGTTCAGGCCCTCGATCTGACCGCTGCGACAACGACGGCTGTGAGAACAAGGACCTGCAACTTCTGCAGACATGTAAAACCATTGATCTGCCTGAAGTAAAGGGCGTCACCAGCTGCCCCGCCATCAGACTCTGTCCTACATGTGGCCTGAGGGTGGAGCATAACAGAAAACACTGCAAAAATATCAAATGTCCTCGCTGCAAAATGGAGTTCTGTTTTGTCTGCCTGAAACTAAAGCGTGAATGTTCCAGTTCACCATATGAAATCTGCCCCAGTGGGGTCGCGCCAAGGCAGACCTCCATCCCTGTGTGGAGGAAAACATGAAAACAAGAATGAAGTGTATGTGTAACTCGGGTTCTTTCGTCTTTTGGTTTCTCTGTCTTCCTTTTTCATTATTGGGCTCTACTGGGCTAGCTTTGGATGAGCTTGCTTAAAAAAGAAAGCTCTAAAGGTCAACTTGTCTTTGAATACAGTTTTTAACCATCAATATTTTTGGTAACCTTTCTTTAGCTGAGACAAAAGATGGATTTTCTTGATACTGTGGGGTCTGCAGATATCTGACATTTTCATGGTGATTAAAGTTGCTGTAAGACCAAGAGTCTGACAGACACCATCTCAACATGTGA